TGGCCCAGGCTGCGCCCGTGATCCCGCAGGCCAGCTCCACGGGGCCGTCTGCCGTGTGGGTTTCCCTTGGCATGCCGCCTCCGTATGCCGCGCGCCTTGCGGGGGTTAAGCCGAGATAAAGACCTTGCTTAGCTAGCCGTTCGTATTCTGTAAGGTAAGGCTAGAGCCCAACCAGGGGGCCCGTACGAGACCCTGAACTATCTGTCCTCCCTTCCGCAGAGAGTGGAGGGGCCCAGGGGACCCAGGCTGTTCTGCCTCGGGTGGAGACAGTTGGCTCTGAGAGTGCAAGGGAAGACAGAGCACAGGGAGGCAAGGGAAGCTGGGCGGCCGGACAGGGCTGGCCGTGCCTTCTGTCCTCCCGGGCGGCTGAGCAGCCACTGTGGGGCTCCAGGGGATGGCCGGCTCCCGCCACCTGGCCCAGCCCTTTATGGCAAGCCCGCCTGGGGCCCTGCCTAGCAGAGGTGGCCGGGAGGAGGTGGAGGAGGCCCATAGCCTGGCCTGTCTAGCTGGATGGAGCCTGCGATCCGTTGCCCTCAGGCTTCATGTCTGTGGCCGCGGGGGATGGGGCCCCCCGGGGGCAGCTCAGAGCTCAGCTTTGCCGTTGGTCTGCTCCAGGGCCCCCCGCAGGCCTGTCTCCCTGAAGGCACCATTAGGGCTTTAAGAAAAGACCGCGTGTGGAGGGTTGTCCAAACTCGGTGCTCGTGCCTGCGCAGGCCCCGGGAACCAGCGGGCACGGGGCTGCGGAGGGACAGCCTTGTCGTGATGCACAGCTCCTGCTGCTCGCGGGGGCGCGGCCCGTGCTTGGCCGTGCGTGGAGTCGGCGCAGGGCAGCATAGGAAGGGCCCGTCTTTGGAAGCGGGTGGACGGTCGGCATGAGGCCTTCCAGGGGTTTTGGTCCATGCCTTCGCTGGCCACGTGTGGGCATTAGAGAGCGAGGCCCTGGCAGCTGCTGCTTGGCGTCCCTGGGGGCGTCCCTAGGGCCAAGGACTCAAGGAAAGGAAGCCGGGCGCTAATGGGGCACTGGGGCCGGGCCGTCCTCCGCCGTCTGCCGCGTGTTTACGTGCAAACAGGCGTGGGACCGCCGGAGTCTGATGGCCTCCTGGTCGGCACAGGTCGGTGGACGGCCTTCCCTGAGGTCTGGGGACAGGCTGTGCCACAGTCCTCTCGGAAAAGCCCAGAAGGCAGAGCGGCTTTGGTGCGCGCGGGGGGTCTCACGCCCTCAGAGAAGGTTTGCGGCCGGGACTGGCTTTGAAGAGCTCCGAGGTGTGCGTGTGGAAGCTCGTGCGCATCAGGCTCCCGGGCCTGGCCCACGGCGGACCGCCGCCTTCTGGTCCCCTGCCCCGTGGCTGTCACGGGAGGTCTCCGTGGGCTGGACTGGGAACAGGGCCTGGCATGTGGCCAGGGAGGGCCTTGGTGCCCAGGCTCTTGGTGGGGGGAGATGGGAGGACAGGGACCTGCTGCCAGGGGCGTGGCACCAGGGGTCCCCGCCAGGAGAGGCGGGGCCTGCAGCGACCATGTTCTGTCCGACTGTCCGTCCGTCCGTCTGTAGGAGGCTTTGGTTCCCTGGCCTGAGGGAAGGTCTGGGTTCCCCTGCGTGGGATGCTGACGCTGTGCTGCCTTTCCTCCCGCGCGGGTCTCCGCAGGTAACTAGGATTTCTACCTCAACCGCGAGACCTATGCAAGGCCGGCCCGGCCGGTGGCCCCAGGACGGCGAGGACGGACCGCAGACAGGGACGAGGCTCTACTGTGAATCGGCGCTGTGCAGACCCGCAGAGGCGCTGGGGCCCGGCCGCGGCTCATGCTGTCGATAGTTTTAGATAAAGTATTTATCGTTTTTTAAAAAGTATAAACAACTCTGACTTATTTTACTCCACCGAAGTCATAAGGCGACCCGTTGAGAAGTGTAAGTACTGTGTGTGAGAGGACCTACCTACCGACGTCCCGGAGGCCTGCCCGCCGCCGCGCCGGCCGCCGTCCCGGTGCTATCTCCACGCGGGCCTCGGCCCGCTTGCGCTCTTGGTGCTGACTGGAGGTTGACCAACGCCAAACCAGGCCGCAAGGCACCTGCCCTATTTATTCCCGCCGCTCTTCCTATACCAAAGGCACGGCCGTCTCCAGGCAGAGGGTGGCTGGCTCTGTCGTGACATTCCTCAGAAGAGGCCCTGTCCCCGAGGGGGCGCCCGCCCCCGCCCCATCACTGTGAACGGCTCCTGCAGACTGGTGGCCGCTCGGGCCAGGCATCTGCGCCTTTGGCATAGGAACGGCCGGCGGGCGCGGGCCCGGTCAGAGCCTCCCCCGTCGTGCGCGGCCCCGTTCTGAGTGGTGCTTGAGGAAGGGCTGGTACCCGACCCCCGGCGGCAGCGGGCCCGGTGCAGCAAGTGCATTTACTTTGGTTCAGCTCGGCTCGGGCTCCCCCCGTGGTCCGCCGGAGCGTGCGGCGAGCTCCCGGCACGGGCGCTGGGCAGTCAAGGGGGCTGGGCTGTCTGTACAGAAGAGAGTCACGCTGAGGAGTGACAGTATTTTATAGAGATGTGATAAAAATTTATAAATTTCATAGACTTGACTTCATATATTTTTAGATTGTATAACGCACAGTAAACTAAAGAAGAAAAAAGTGAGGGGAAAACCTTTCTATTTATTCAAGTGCACACAGTGGCACGGGCCCAGGGCCGGCCCTCCGCCCCCAACTGCGTGCCCGCAGTTCCTGGGGCGGAGTGCTCGGGCCCCGTGCCCTGCCCAAGGCCCTCTGGCCCTTCCGTGCTGCTCCGCTGCCGCCCCACCCGCCCTGCAGCCGCTGTGATGGTGCCTGGGAGTGAAGGTGCTGGGAGTGGGTGCTGGGAGTGAAGGTGCTTGGTAGTGAGTGCCCCTCCCCGCATTCACCGGCTGGGGCAGAGCCGGGAGAGCTGTCCAGATGCTTCCAGAAAGTGCCAGCAGGGTTCTCCAGCTCCTCCAGCGTAACAGTCTGACCAGTGTCATGTCTGTGTACAGTCTTCAAAAGGGTGCGTCTAGAAGTCCCCAGGCCCCTGAAAGGGCGCACGTCAGCCAAGGTCCTGGCAGGGGGCCCTGGACCCCAAGATGGGTGCTTTAGGAAGGGCTGAGCTGAGGTAGGAGCCCTGTTCTCAGGTGCTTGCACCCACCGAGGAACACCGGGAACTTGCCTCTTCCCAGAGGTGGGCTGTGCATCACGGGTGGGCCCTGAGCTCCTGCCTGCCTGGGCAGGTTCAGGGCACCGGGCCGGCCTGGCCCTGCTTCCTCCTGATCCCCACTCTGCTGAGGGGCAGGCAGATGCCTTGAGGCATGCCGGCGAAAGAGGGCCACCGCAGGGCCCTTTCCTGCCCGCAGCTGCCTCCCAAAAGCAGACTGATCTGTGCGGTGCAGGTCTGGCCGTCGACGGGATCCCTGGTTCCCCCAGGCAGGGGCCTGCCAGAGCTCTGCTTTCCTGCCTGCCCTGGGGGTGGCCCAGAGCAATAGTTGAGGCAGAAGATGGTGCTCGTGATGGGTTCTTGAAACTGGCCCGTCCTTCCGTAACTGGCCGCCCTGGCTCTTGCCCTCTGGGTTGGTGCTCCCGGCGCATGAAGGTGCTGTGCCTCTCCCCCGTGAACCCCAATCCCCGCCCCCCAGGACAGGGCAGTGTTTGCTCCCCCCCATCAGGTGCACAGGGCTCCCTGAAAAGATACAGGGTGGATGGTAGAGGTCACACAGGAGTCCCCGGGGTGGAACAGAGCAGCCCCGTCCAGGCACACGGCACGTCACCTCCGGGGGCCTCCTGCGGACGTGCTGTACCGAGTCTCCCAGCACAGACGCTCGTGTGCAGACACGGTCCCTGGTGTGAGGCAGGCGGCATGTGGGGGCGCGAAGCCCCGGGGCTGCTGCTGACCTCGGGCCACTTCAGGGAAGTCTGCGGGTCACAGGTGGCTCTGCTCAGGAAAACCTAACCATGAACACGGCCCTCCCGGGCAGCTGGCCAGGCCTTGCAGCTATGGACTGTGATTTCTCCAAGGCTCACGTGCCCCTCTGTACCCACCCCACCTGCCCTCATTCCCACGGTCCAGCCACACTGGTTTGTCTCCCACGTTTCTTGACCTTGATTTGTAACTCCGACGGGGCTTTGCTTTTGTGTTTCTGGTAGACTGTGTCTCAGCTGGGGGTGCTGGGCTGCTGGCTTGACCCTCTTCTAAGAGAACGCCAATACATTCTGCGTTTCCATCTCTAGACGCTGTAATAAAATACTTGTTTTCACTTGAACCTGGTCTGCTCGCAGCATTTCTTTCTGTGACACAAGGAGAGGCATGAGGGCCAGGGGCCTCGCTCCCCACTCCCCAAGCCAGGAGGACAAGGACTCGCAGCGGGAGCCTGGCAAGCTCCTTCAGACAGTCATGGGACCAAGGCCCACAGCAAGCACCCGCCTCAAGGAGGCCCAGCCCCTCCTGAACGCACACCTGACTAGGTCAGGCCCACCAGGATACTTCTCATGGGCTGTTTTGTTTTTTTTTTTTAAACAAACTGATTTAGGACTCCCAAGGTTTGCAGAACCCTTTCCAGAGTCGTGCCTGTACTCAAGGGGAGGCCTAGGAACTGGGGTCACAGGTCATCTTTGGGTTCAATCAGACCACCCTTCTGTTGTCTCCTGGGGCCTAGTCAGCACCACAGGCCCCATGGGCCAAGCAAAGTCCCAGACTCCACGCCTCAACCTGGTCTGATTCCAGGTCTCTGTGCCTCTCCTGGAGCAGCCCTGCCTCACTCCAACCACCTCGGGGCAGCAGCCCCTCCCCGCATTCACCGCAGCACCATCCCACGTGGAAAAGAGGTCCCTTTATTTGAGTACAACAAGCACACTGGCCTGAGAGTGAAGGCGTCCTGCTCCGCCCGGAAGCATCAGCCAGGGCCTGCCCCAGCGGCAGGAGAATTCACAGTGGCTCCAGGAGGCGCGGCCCCCCACGTCCTTCACAGCATCGTCTAGCTACGTACATTCAGCCTACACAGGGCAGAAAGACTACACCAGCCTCAGAGTCCCCAGATGGATGGACCCGAGGGGCTGGCCGCAGCTTCTAGGAGTGGACACTTGTCCCCCGGTAGCAGCATGGGGCACCCAACAGGTGCCAGACCAGTCCAGGTCGGGGGTGGCGTGTTCCTGGGTTGTTTCTCCAACCCGCCCCTGCCCACCCCCACCAATCTTGGACTTTTGAAGTCTTTAAGCCAAGCACCTGCAGCAGGAAATCCAGGCTTGACCAAGAAACCCAGGGCGCGGAGAGGATGGGGAGGGCTTGTTCCAGACTCAGGCCTTCAAGCCACCCAGCTGGAACCTGGCCTCCTCAGATATGCCGAACTGCTCCAGGGGGTCCTGTGTGGGTGAAGGGACAGCATGAGCCCAGGCCCCAGAGGGCCCTGCCCCGCCCCCACGCCCGGCTCCCACCCCTGGCCCCCAGACTCTCCGCGCACCTTGCCAGTCATCTTCTGGATCTCGTTTCTGTAGAATATGAGGCTTCTCCGCATGAACTCGTAGCTGGGAAAGCAAGTGACACGTGTTCACAGAGCCCTGCTGTGCCCCTGCCTCAGACCCCCCCAGGCAGGCCCACACCCCACCTGGCTCGCCGCAGAGCCCCCATCCACTCCTGACACTGCTCCTCACTGCAGCAGGCAAAGTGATACTTCCTCTCGGGGTCCTCCAGGAAGCCTGCAGAGGGAGCAGCCCCCAACCGTTCCCGCTCACTGCCCCGCCCCACCCCACCCAGAGTCCGCCACAGGCCTCAGCTTCCTGTTGCCTCTGTCCATGTGTCCCCTCCTCCAGTCCAAGGCCAGGCTCATCCCTTCCCACCAGCCGTGCTGGGGACTGAACTGTGTCCTCAAGTCCATACGTTCAAGTCCTAACCCCTAGAACCTAAAAATGCGGCCCTACCTGCATGCAGGACGATTACTGATGCAACTACTTAGAGAAGATCAACTGGGAGCAGGTGGGCACCAACCCTGATCCCACCAGGAATGACTCCACAAAGGCAAAGAGCCCCTTGGACTGCCGGCAGCCCCCAGGAGCCAGGATGGCCTGGGGAAGCGTCCCCTGGCAAGGAACCACCCCTGCAGACACCCTGTTGGGGGACTTGTGCCCTCCTGGACGGGGCGAGCACACGTTTCTCTCGTTTGAGCGCCACACCAGAAAATCGGCCGACTCCGCCGCTCTCAAGACGACCCCGGGGGAATCCTCCGCAGGACCCCAGACAGTGCAGTGCTCCCCAGCAAGAGAGACCGTCCTAGAGGAACTGCGGCTGCAGCTAGAAAGGGGTTGCGCCCCAGGGGAAGAGCCGGGCCCGCCCTCCGGCCGCCCGAGGCAGTGGACTTCGCTCCAGGCCGACGGACGCCGCGGCGGGGCCCGGGAGGGGAAGGGCAGGGCCGGGCACTCACTGATGGAGAAGCCGCTGGGCTCCTCCTGGGTGACTCTGCAGCGCTCCAGCAACAGGGCTCCGACCGGCTGCGGGCAGACGGGGCGAGGGCGTGGGTGGGGGCGGGCCTCCGCGGGGACCCCGACACGCCCCGCCCCCGGGCCCTAGCTCGGCCCCGCCCCCCGCGCCGACCCGGACCCCGACCGGACCCCCGCCCCCAACCCCGCCCCGCCGGCCCGCGACCCGGCCCCGCCCCCCGCCGGGCCACGGCCCCCGGCCCCGACCCTCGGCTCCGGACCACCGCCCGCCGGCCCACCTCGGCCTCGTCCGTCCGGAAGTAGAAGAGGAAGTTGACCACCAGCTTCACAAGCCGCCTTTTCAGCACTGCGGGCACAGGGCTGGCTCATTCGGGCTCGCGGCCGCCCAGCCCCGCCCCGCCCGCCCGGCCCGCCCGGCCCGGCGCCCCGGCCCGCTCACCGCTGCCTTTCTTGGGACCCCGCATGCCCAGCTCGGCCGCCAGCTCGGCCGGCTGCCGGGACAACGCCTGCAGCTCCTTCTCGTTGTAGCGCATGGCGCTGCCGGGACCCACACCGCGGAGCGCGGACCGCGCCCTCCCGGCCGCCGTCCCCACTCGCGCCAAAAAGGTCGCACAGCGCCGTCCCGGAAGCGCTGCCGCAGCCACTGCGCTTGCGCGCCCCCGAGCCACGCATTCTGCGGGTCGCCGACGCGCGGCGCTGGTGTGTGTATGGGGGGGGGGGGTCCTCGGCGCTACGCGAAGCCCGCGTGGGGCGCACGCGATACTAGACGACACGCAAGATCCTCGTAGATAAGCATGAAATAAGCTGGATCCGGGGTGGGAACAGAGGAAGGTCCCCTCACGATTGGTGGCGCCCTTTACCGACGAGTGGAAGCCGGTGAGCCCGGAAGCCGCGCGTTAGGCGTTGAGGGCCTGGTGCGCACGCGCACTTCGAGTTCGGAGCTCATCAGCCCCGCCCCCTTCCCTCGCGCCTCCGGCGCTTCAGGCAGAACGAGCATGCGCACACGGGAGACCGTCCCCCCACCCCCAGCCCGTTGGCCCCCGGAAGTGCTTCCCTAGCGCGCGGGGCGCGTGCGCATAACGTATTCGTGGCTGCGGCGGGCGCCGAGAGGGAAGCAGCGCGGGGTGAGAAGAGGCGCGGGTTGGGGGCGGCGGCCCTGGGGCTCTGGCTTCCCGGGACCGCCGCGGACTTGGGTTGAGAGGCCGGCGGGGTCGGGCCGGGGGCGCGGCGCGCGGGAGCCGCGGGGCCCGCCACTGGGCCGGAGGGGCTTGGCTGCGGGCCCCCCAGGAGGGACTGGGCGCGGACCGGGCAGCACCGCTTCGCCGCGCTCGCTCCTCCCCTCCGCCGCGAGCTGGCGGGGGCTGGGCCGCGGCGGGCGGGCGGGCGGGCGGATTCGCGCCGGTGCTCGCGCCCGTGTGGGCGCCCCGGCGGGGGTCCCGCGTGCGCTGCTCTCCCGCCGCCCCGCCCGCGCCGAGCCTGTCGGCGTCGCTCCTCGGTTGGCCCGGGGTGGGGGGTTGGTCTCCCTGGCCGCTCTCCGCACCCCCCGTCCCGGCCGCTGTGTCCCCCTGCTCAGCTGCGTTGGGAGGATCTTGTCGTTACAGAAAGAGCGAGAGCGGGAGGGAGGACAGCTGCGGGCCGAGCGGGGATCCGCGCGCGGGGCTCGACCCCGGGGCCCGGGACCATGGCTTAGCCGCCCCCCCCCTCGGCGCCCCGCACTTTTCATCGTCGGGAACAGATCGATGGCTTCCTGGGTCTCTTGTCCCCGCCGACACGCCCCCGCGGGGGCCTCAGCTCGGGTTGCAGTGCGCTCCTGAGTCTGCTTCTGCGCTCAGCGGGCCGTCCAGCGGTGCCCCCGGCGGCTGTTGGGGTCGGGGACTGACTTCGCGGCTTGGTTTCTTGTGCCTCCGCAGCACCGAGGTCGGGCGGAACCGCGGTGAAACTGGCAAAGGGGTGCGCGGCCCGCGGAACGCTCTGGGGAGAAGTCGGACTCCCTCCCGGCTGCCCGCTCCTTGCTCCTGGTGGTTTTCTTTCTTGCTAGAAACGGGGAGTTTCCCGGAGTGGTGAGCTCCCCTGCTTGTTCTGTTGGCGGGACCACGTCTCTCAGCAGGAGATGGCTCAGCTCCGTGCTGTGGCCCTGTGGGGGGACGCTCCTGGGTTTCTGGATGCTTCCACGCTTCTTGCTGTTCTCGCTCTGAAATCTCATCTGGGTTCTGTTCTGCCTTTTGTTTCCCGGTTTTGTCCTCCTTCCGGAAAGGCTTGTTGGACTCGGACCCCAGCCCTCACACTGGGCTCTCGTCGGGTCCTGTCTTCCCTTCCCAAGGGTTTTCGTCCTGGGTTTAACTGGCCGTGCTGACCTCTGGCTGCCGTTCCGCTTTGAGGCTGTAACTTGCCCCGTTGAGGGGGTACGTGGAATTGTGCGTGTCTGCGTGCGAGGTCCCAGCGTCTCAGTGAGCCCGGGAAGACGCGGGGAAGACGCCGACCCCAGCCGTGCGTGTCTGGTGTCTGGGCGAACCGCCTCTGGCGCTTTTGCTGTGCCCCTGGGCTGGGCTGTAGGCCTCCAGCTGGACCTTCTGGGCGGGGCGTGGGGGAATGGCAGGTTTTGATGGAATTCCCTCTTTCCAGCCTCACCCTCCTTCCACTCCCCGACTCTGACTCCCTCCCACAGCCCCTGCCCCTGCGAGTGGAGTGGCCCTTCATTCCGGTTCTTCTGAGAGTGAGACCGGCCTGCCCACGCAGCTGCTCGCGGGCGCTTGGGCTTCCCTGGGGGGACGGGGCTGCTGTGGGCAGTGGGCTGCGAGCAGCTGGCAGCGTACTGGGCTCCCTCTAACTGGGTCGCCAGTTCATTGTTGCCATTCCGTCTCCGTGAGCCCGTCACTCCCTGCACTGGCCCTGGTGCCTGTCCCCAGCATGCGAGGGGTGTATCCCACTGCTCAGGAAGGAACTAGGTTCCTGGCCACACGGGGCGGTGGGGGGTTCTCTTGGCTTTGTTACAGTTGTCGATTGTCGCCTTCCCAGTCGCACCTGCACTCCCGCAGGGCCCGTGGGGTGTTTTGGAGTCGCCAGTACAGTAGGGGACGGGAAGTGAGGGCACGCTTCTGTCGCGGCGTCTGGAGCTGTCCGTCCCCCCGCCCCCCAGCCCAGCTGAACGGGGGAGCGTGCGCCACCTTTGTCTTCCTTTTGGGAACCGCCTCCTTGGTCCGCGAGGAGGCCTCCCGACGAGGTGTCACTGGCGACGCTGCGCGGGCCTTTGTCCACCTGTCGGCTGGCTGCCGACTCGATCCGCGCGCACTCGCGCCCCCAGAAGCGCTCGGTTTCCGCTGTTCAGGCCAGCGCCCTCCGTAACGGCCTTGAGACGGGGGTGTCGTCTCCACAGAGGTCTGAAGTCACTCGGACCTGTGAGCAGGAGACCTCCCAGGCCCCTGACCCTGCTGGCGGAGGCGAGGGGGCCGGTGCTGTCCCTGTCCCTGTCCCTCTCCGTGGCAGCTTCCGTCACTTCACCCGGAAACCGCACCTCCTGCAGGTCGGGTGCTCGGCCTCCCCCGACGAGCCCGTGGCCAGTTCTGGCGGCGGGAACCGCGGTGCCCCGGGGGACGCACGGGTGTGCCTGGCCGGGACCCCCAGGTGTAGGGTCTCCTCCTTTCAGGACTCGGCGTTCTCTCCGCGGAGGGCTCGGCGGGTTGCTGGTGCTCGTCTCCCGCTGTCTCCGAGATGAGCGCTTGGTGGCTCTGGGCGGACGGCGTGATGAAGCGTCTGGTGCCGCGACGGGTCTGATCCTGATTCAGCAGCCGTCGGGGGTTGCTTTGCGGGTTCCCAGGTGTGAGGCCGGCAGGACGGCGCCCGGGAGAGATCTAGATTCCTGTGGAGCTGGTCCCGCTCCGAGCCGCACTGCGGGCCCACCGCGGAGCTGGGCCGTCGGCGCCACAAAGCCCGCGGTTCTCAGCATGCGGTTCTTACCGTGCAGTCCTGGAGGTCGGAAGTATAAAAGGGGGCGCCTGGGTGGCCCAGTGGGCCGAGTGTTGGACTCTTGATTTCGCCTCAGGTGGCGTCGTCCGGGCGGTGCAGTGGAGCCCTGCGCCGGGCTCTGCCCTGGTGTGCGGCTGCTCGAGACTCTCTTCCCGTCCTTTCTGCTTCTCTGTCCCGTCTCTCTTTTTCTCTGAAATAAGTGTATGAATCGTTAAATACTTTATTTCTTAGTATAAAATGGAAGTTGTATTCCCCCGGCACCCCAGGGAGACCCGGCTCCCGCCCTTTCCTGGCCCGCCGCCCCCCCCATCCTCCCCGGCAGCAGCGCAGGGTCTGCCCATCTCCGGGACCCCCGCCCTCTGCCTCCCTCTCCTGAGGACCTGGTGAGGACGCCGGGCCCCCGGGAACCCAGGGTCACCCCCAGCTCAGGGTCCTTGACTTGCCTGTCTCTGCAAGGTCTTTTTTGCCGTTTATGGTTCCATATTCTTGGGTTTTGGGGATTTGAATGGGGACACCTTTGTGAGGTCATATTCATTCCTGGGCCCCGTTCCCGTGGGCTGACCTCTACAGAGACAAGGTACTGTGGGTTTAAGCCAGGGGCCTGGAGCTGACTTTGGCCAAGTCAAGAGCGACAGTGTTCGGAGGCCAGAGGGAGGTTCCGGAGGTTGGGACTGACCCGAGTCTGAGAGAACACGGGAAGCACAGTGGTCAGCTGGAACCCGTCTGCTTTAGGTCCTGGGAGAGCCTGCCTTGGCCCCGAGGAGGCCTTGAATCTCTCTTGTGCACTCGGCGGAAGGTGCCAGTAGGTAAATGTAGCAAATTCACAGGTGAGCCACGGAGGTAGGATTTAGCTTGGCGGAAGTGAGCGTAGACGAGCAGGAGTTCGGAGGAGTGCGCACCACGTTTGGGCGGTCCAGGAAGGCTTCCTGAAGGAGGTGAGACTTGGTGAGAGAACTTGGCCACCTCCTCCCTGCTGCCATGCTGGGGCTCTGAGCACTGACACTTCTCGGGCTGCAGTGGCTTCCTCGCCAGTCCTCCCCCGCAGGCATTCATAGACGCACCGCCCGTCCTCCCGCGTCCTTATTCTGGGTTTGTGTGTCCCTGGGCCACCGTGGGCCCTTTGTCTCCTGGAAGATGCGTGGGGAAGAGGAAGCTGACCCTTCTGCCGGGCCATGTCCTGCACTCTCATAGCCTCCCCTTTGGTCTTGCAGGTCCCTGTAGGGGTGCGTAAAGCCCAGCATCCTCACCATGGACTTCCAGCATCGCCCGGGGGGCAAGACGGGGAGCGGAGGCGTGGCCTCCTCCTCAGAGAGCAACCGAGACCGCAGGGAGCGCCTCCGGCAACTGGCCCTGGAGACCATCGACATCAATAAGGTGGGTTGAGCCTTGGGCAGCAGGCAGGCGGTTCCCCCTGGCTCCCTCGGGCTCGGGGCCCCTCCCCCCACTTCTGTCAGCAGAGCCAAGTTCCGTGCCCTTGGCCCTGCTGCCCAGCTTTCTTGGCCTTGGGGTCCTGATCTGCAGTCGAGGGAACTTGACCTAGAGCGGCTCCAGTTAGGCACCCCACAGACCACCTGCTGTTCCAGGGCCGTGACAGCATCGCGGAGTTGGGGTGTTTGGGCAGTGAGCCGCACAGGGCGACACCGCGCTTGGGCGTCCACAGCTGGGGGGGCCCGGAGTCT